CACTTCGCTTTGTTGTATTCCGGGTCGAAGTGTGTGTCGAACGCGGGCTCCTCGGAATTTTCCTCCTCCTCGTCTTCGTCCTCTACGAAAGATACCTCCAGTTCCGCATTATCAGAATCTACGGCAGCGACGGGACTCTGGGTTTCATTGGCATTTAGCGACTTTTGGGAGGAAGCAACGGCAGGCACTGCGACCGAGTTCTCCGGTTCGGTGATCGAGACGGTGGACGAAATAACGGTTTTATCAGACATGGCTACTAAAATTCGAAATTCCTTGTACTAAATTACAAAATGTATAAATTATTATTAATTTTGAAACTGAGCTGTTGATCATAGCTCTAGGAAACCCGTTGTAATACTGAACCTTCAACATATCATCCGAACGGTACTGGACTTTTACATTTGACATTTCAAGTTAGGACTACTATTGTTCTAAATTTTGAAAAGCCTTTTACATCCAATGTTTTATTGAATAGTATAGGTGCAATGGGCTCAAGGATGTATAAGTTCTTTAAATAGATGATAGAAGAACTATACAGAGTCTAGTTCCTATAATTAGGAATTACGTATTGCGAAATTCATAGTTAAGACATCAGAAGGCCAAATAGCTAACAGACTGATGGCCAAGCGGATCAAATACATGTCTCCATACGATTCGATTGTAAAATACAATAGTTCTGTTCTTAAAAAAACCTTAAAACCTCGATGATGTTTGGAAAAGTGTAGCAATAGAAAAGTGTAGCAAAGGGAAAAGGGCAATCGAATATCAGTTTTCGCATATAGGGTATCGTTATCATGTTATGAAATGATTTTGATTAAGGTTTTGATCTTCAACAAGACGACCGAGGAGCGCTCGAGAAACGATTTATAAGTAATTTGTTATTTATTAGCTAAGAGGAGTTAATAAAGAAATATGAAAATAATTAATTTTAAATTTTAAGTACAGGAAAGAGAGATTATAGAGTAGAGGCTTTTTAAGAGTATCAGAGGCAGGCGGATATGGAAACTAAGTGGTAACGCCCGAAAATATCGATAGCCCAGGGTGAATCGGGTATAATGAAACGAGTGCGGGAAAAGGCCGGACGGTCATAGAAAGGGTCCTTTCTTTTCACTTTAAGCCGCCAATAGCGAAGTAAGTGGATTTAAAGAGGAGGAAGAGAAAAAGTATTCGACGCAAGGAAAAAAAAGAAGCGTGCTCCACAGGGCCAGAAAACGGTAAGGAAAACTCCCCTGGGGACCATTGCGGAACACGAGTCCCTATATCTGTGAGGATATAGCAGCTGCCAGCGGGAGAAGTGCGTTTTGTCCGGCCAAGCCGGCGTTCGCAGCAAAGCGCGGACGTGAAGTACGAAGGTGAGCGTAGGTCAGTGAGGTCAGCTAGAAGCTTTAATAGAGTTTCGCCTAGGAATACTGAAGGAAAGGAGGCCCCCAGCGAAGGCAAGAAGAAGAAGGAACAGAACGTGTAGCGGGGGACTCCTGAGCCTTTGCGACATCCCAGGAGAGGCAAGGAGGGACAGAGTGGGCGAATTCAACGGATAGAGGACCGAAATTACCCTTATACTCACCGAGGAGCACGGCTGTTGCTGCCCGCAGGTCATTCACGATCGCTTTGGTACCCCGATGAGGGAAAAGTGACCCAAAGGCAGGCGACAGTGCGTAGGTTTTGTTGTTGTAAAGTTCGGGAAGTTCGGGAAGCACTTGGCGACCCTTACATTTTGAATCACTCCCCTACAGGTGGCATGCTGAAAGCGCTTCATCATCGCAGCAATTGGTAAAAAGTGTTGAGTGAAAAACTAGCATAAATCGCAAATATATTCGTTGCCGTCTGCACTTTGGATCAACCCCCAAGCTCGGGTATGATCCTTGCGATAATCCTACTGCGGTAGCTACAATCAGGCAGAGCAATTGAATCAACTTGTTACAAGTTGAAAAGTAGTTACAACCGACTGGTTAAGTTACAACCGACTAGTTAAAGTTACAAGTTAAAAGGTACAACCGACTAGGTTAAGATTTCGAATTTCATTCTAGTTCAAGCCCAACACTTAGATTTAAGAGATATCAAATGGAGCTTATTATTTTTAGTTTGTAAGTTCAGAAGATAAAGAAAGGTTATGTGGAATAGATATAATAAAATGTTTATCATGTACTGAGGAAATTGAGCCGGGTCTGATTTGTAGCCGCCATGTTACCACCCGATCCTTCCAAGATACCGTAGTGGGCAGGACGCTGGCCTAGGAGTCTTTAGTGAGGAAAGACAGTAAGGCCTGTACTTTCCGACAGGCTAAGCAGGCATTCGATTGATTTCGAGTTCTATGGATAGCTGGGATCCTGTGGGGAGAGAAGAGTTTGTAGGAAACCCACCTACTAGCTGACGAGCTCTATGCTGGCAATCGCGTGCGCCTCATCTCTCACCCGGTAGTTTGAAGTGCAAGGTTTCCGCAACATTTCTGTTAAACAAGTTCGAGCATAAGACCCTTGTGAGAGTCGTGCTGTGCATATGTCGAACTACAATAGTAAAGGGCCAAGATGACTTTCTTGAAGGACCCCAGAAGTAGCATGGATCAAGCGGGAATGTATATTTTAAAGAAGACTCTAAATAAGACAGAAGTGAGTGATTGACTAAATCCAATGCTTTACTGAAGTCTGTGTAAATAACATTAGTTTTAATATAAATCCGTTTCGAAAACCATCTATGACAAAGGATGATATCCTTACAAGTAGTAATTAATTTTTCAAATAACTTTGGAATTGTCGACAAATTAGAGATACCTCTGTAGTTAGCAGCATCCGACTATTTCCCTTTTTTATGTAAGGGATTTTGAAAGATACCTTCCACTTAAGGGGAAAAATCGAGGTTTCCAAAGCTAAATAAAAAAGTCTATGAAGAGGTTTGCCCAGAGCCCTGGCACAGTATTTTAGCACACGTCCTGGTATCCGTCGGGGCCTGGCGAATAAATGGGTTTGACCCTAAGAAGATAAGATATTCTCTATAAGAGAAGAGAAAAAGAATAAGAGAATTATCTATAAGAGAAAAACGGACAGACGGTGGAAAAGATACGCCTAGTGTTTACAAAGCTTAAAAAATGGTTCGGATCCTGGGAAAATTAAATCCGGCGGCCTGACGGAAACAGCGAGTCTTTTTTGCCACGCATGGAAACCTCTGATCGATACCAGAAATGGTTTCGATTAAAACATCAAACAGGGGCAAAGCTCTGGAAAGAGTGTTACCATCAGGATCAGATACAAAGCATAAGTCTAATAGTCGACCTAACGAATTTCTAACATAGTTAATTTGACTTAGGGACATGTCAAACATGCCCGCAGTGCGTCATAAGTGAGATTAGACCACTTTAATTATGGGATATTAAAGTCAGCCAAAGCTACAAGCTGGTCACGATCGGTCATAAGATTAAAAACGAATTAAATAGCGGACAAATGATGTCAGTATGTGGGCGGCTCAGACAAAAGCGGTAAAGATGAACATGTAATGTGTAAAGACTTAGCGGAAAAAATGATTTTTATGCTAATAAATTCGAAGTCACCAAACTCTTGCGATTTTACCTCTTCAGAAGCAAGTTAAAAATCTACCGAAATGAGGACTCCACGCCCCCCTCGCAGAGGTCAATCACGTCTAAAAGTAGTGTATCTGGAAAAACTTCGAAGCTAAACTATATTCTATAGCTGCCACATATGTAGCTGAACAATCGGAAATGACCCAATTTTCGTTGCTTTGAAGATAAAACGTTTAAATTTTTTATAGATTCCTTTTTTTTGTCAATGGATTAGATCTTCCGAATTTCATGAGGATCGGCCGTTTATATCCTATAGCTGCCATATAGCTGAAGTATTTTAGTATATTATTTTGGTATAAAATTTTGGTATTTTGAACACACTTTGGTATTTTTCAAAATTGAAGTTTGGGATTTTTTTTTTTAATTTTTTATACCCTTGCAGAGGGTATTATAATTTTGTCCAAAAGTGTGCAACGCAGTGAAGGAGGCATCTCCGACCCCATAAAGTATATATATTCTTGATCAAGATCACCTCCTGAGTTGATATGAGCATGTCCGTCTGTCCGTCTGTCTGTCTGTCCGTTTCTACGCGAACTAGTCTTGAAACTTTGCACACACCGGAACGGCCCGGATCGGCCGACTATATCCTATAGCTGCCATATAACTAAAAGGTCGGAATTGACCCAACTTTTGTGTTTTTGAAGATAGAAAGCCGGAACTGTGTACAGATTCTATTTTTGGTTCAGTTCATCCAACCTACCAAATTTCATAAGGATCGGCCAACTATATCCGATGTTTGCAATATATATGGTTTGAACTGCAAGGGTATATCAACTTCGGCTCCGCCCGAAGTTAGCTTTACTTTCTTTTTATTATAATAATTTGTTTTATTATAACAGTCTCATAAAGTTTTACGAACCATATCCGATATTTGCGATATATATCGACGCATTTCCGCGAAAGTATCGTATGTTGAAAAATCCAATTTTACAGGAGAAGCTTTTTTTTTATTTCATCTCTTACAAACAATAAGCCAAATCATAAGATGTTTAAGCGATTAGAAACATTTGTTATTGTATTTCTTTATTTTTGTGCATTTGAAGTATTTCCATGCAAAAAATTTGAAAAGCTATGCAACATACGATAAAATTGAAACTTAATTTTTATCGCAACTATAGGGTTTTCAGCTATAATATTTCACAGGGTAGTAAGACATTAGGTGCCTAACAATTTTTCATTCAAATCTCAATTTCGTAAAAAGGCGACTTACGATACTTTCGCGGAAAGGCGTCGATATATCCGATCTTAACTGCTATGGTATATCACCATAATTAGTTAGTTAGCTTTCCTTTCTTGTTTTTTGTTATATTTTCTTTTGCAAGGAAATTTTATTAACTATATAAATTTTTTATGTTTATGCATTAAATTTTTAAACAGTTTAAAAGTAGACAAGTTGGAATATTTTAAGAAAAATGTCTTCAACAAATTTTTAAATGTTTAATACACTAATTACATTATAGTCCTTAGTAGTCAAGTATATAATATATTTTAAGTAAAACTAGCAATGCTTTGCGACGTATTTGAATAACTTGAACTACAAACAATATTATCAATATTGTAGTGGTGTACAACGCGTGATGATGGCCGATTTGAAAGAGTTTCAGATATTTTTCGTACAATCCACTTGGATAGTTTAAGGACAGCAAGGTGTGATATGAATTGTAGAATCATCGCGCCAATTCCCTTGTAGAGTCCACAAAAACCTTCTGAAAATATGGTCGATTGGTAACAATCGATGGCTCCTTGATAGTTTGTTAATATTGGGACCACTGCATAGCCATTGTCTAAATTGTCAATAATAGTGCGAGTACCTTGAAGTTGAAGACGATGTAAAACGGTTTCAAAAGGATAGAAAATGACCTCAGTGGTTATTGTTGTAATAAGATTGGCATATATCTCAGCATTTTGATTATCTAGCACATCATCGGAAATTTTTTCAGCACGTTTTTTTCTTGAAACTGTTAGCCGCCGTCTCATAATCCGAGAAGATAGCCCACGAATTACTAAACTGAATAAATACTTTATAATTCCCAATGATACACATGGACCTATTAATGCCCAAGCAGGTAGCATTCTGCCCTTCTGTGGTGAGCTCCAATGTAGAAATCGAAGACTTCCTTCTCGAAATACATCAAAGAGTCCTGGTTTCTCACTTGCTATACCACTTTGGACAGTCTCCACTAAAGAAGCACAATAGAATGGTACAACCACTCCTATGCTGAAACACTTGAGGAGAATGTGTTGTCCGAATCGCTTTAATGTGGTTTTACTGTTTACTTCCTTAGGCCAACCAGTGAATTTGGAAATAATATCGTCCATAGCCAGGATCATTCCACGCACAATAAGGCAGCTACCGACACCCTTCCATAAAGTAGCCACCCCTTGCCGCCTTTGTAAATTTAAGATACTGGGCAGTAGTGTTATTGGGTGAATGTGGTAACGGTTTGACGTGTTAAAGACTTGACACTGTCTACGCAAGACAATAAATGGATGACTAAGTAAGTTTTCTGTCACTAGTGAAACCCACTGTACGCCAACGGCAAGATTATTGCGAAGTACTATTTCGTCTTCAGCAATATCAAATTTTTCCTCCGTCTTTTTTTCCAGTTGTAACGACAAATCATCAAAAGAATTTATTTTTTTGATTGCATCTTGGTCTGCGTTTATGTTCTGCACGATGGCCTTTTCCTGGCAGCCCATGCTATAGTCCACATTTTTTGCAGGTTCAGAAACTGCCTCTAACACATTTTCTGGCAATTCACTCTCAATAAGATTGGAATATTCATCTGCTTCTACAAATTTATTCATGGTTACAATATTGTAGGAAAGTGGATTTACAAATTAGGTTTAGTTTTCAGCCTTGCTATTAAATTTCGTAGGAATAATTGTTTTTATATGTATGTATGAATATTTTAAAAACAATAGTACAAGTAAAATTAATTTAACGACAGTTAAAGAAAGGCTGTGTGTGTGTGTATTTTAGGGTAGATACATTTTTGATAATTTTCTGAAAATGAAATAAAAACTGTTCTTAAAATAAAAATCAGAATTAATACTATGCGCCATAATAGTCCATCCTGAAATAAGTATAGGCTGGTTTTATAAACATAGACTGGGATTTTAGAGCTGTTATCGCTACAGGAAAACAAAGATTGCTCGAATTGGTATTTACGCTCATTTGAAAAGGCCATGGAGCTTTTAAGCAATGTTAGTGTCTATGGTGTCTTCCGCGTCAGAGGGAAGAAAGCCTTACAATTGGGGACGCCAAATGAAACCAGCAGGAGTTTTTGTAATCCTGGAAAAGCATTTACAGTTAAGAGCATTTAGTGCTCGACTTTCCATTGGATATATGTAATTTGCAGTCTATCTTTGAGGCGAGGTTTCTCAAAAAGGCATCTGAAAATTCTGCGCTTGACGCTACTTTCCAAAACATAAGTAAAACGAGTAGTTTTCGATATATGTATAAAGCATAAATGCTCAGGTTATCAGTTCATCATCTAAGCACTGATAGTTCGGGTACGAAAAAAAAAAACAAACCGGAATAAAAAGATAAGTCAATAAAATTTGACCATTTGGATGATATCAATGCATGTACACAATGGTTTATATAATCAGTAGCTTTCAAGAAAGAAAAGCTAACTTCGGGCGGAGCCAAATTTGATACACCCTTGCAGTTAAAACCGGATATACAGTCACAAAAGTCGGATATAGTTGGCCCATCCTTATAAGAATATCATAATAAAACCAATTCATTACAATAAATCTAAAAAAAGTCCCAAACTTCTATCAACAATATCAAAGTTAATATTTTTACCAAATACCATTTGCGATCGTTCCATTATATGGCAGCTATAATATATTGTCAGCCGATCGTTGTGAAATTTAGTACGTCGTTTTATTTTTACAATAATACCATTCATACAAAATCCGAACTCTCTAACTCAAATACCAAACACCAAAGTTATACCATTTCCGACCAATCAGTTATATGGCAGCTATAGGATATACTTGGCCGATCCCGGCTGTTCCGACTTATATCACTGAGAGACTAGTTTGCGTAGAAGTAGACAGACGGACGAAGAGACATGCTCATATCAACTCAGGAGGTGATCCTGATCCAGAATAGGGTCGGAGATGTCTCCTTCACTGCGTTACACACTTTTGACCAAAAGTATAATACCCTCTGCAAGGGTATAAAAAGGTTATTTTCAAAAGAGGTCTTACACTGTTCTTTTGAATCCTTTACGAATCCTTTTGAATCCTTTTAAAATATTTCAACTTGATAGCTTTATCCCATCTCTTTCTCATTTTTCGCTTCATACATTGCACTCGAGTAAACCCAACTAAATTATGGGGTTATATACAGTTGTGATAGATGTAAAGAAAAAAAATTGTTGTATTGCATATTCTTTAAGTATATACTGTTGAGAATACTCTCACAAAAATTCATATCGATCGGAGCATTAGAACCGAAGTTTAAGCTATTTATAGCGCACTACCTGCACATAAAACTTGAAAAAACTTGAAACTTTAAACGCGATTATCTCAGAATCTTTATTTATTTATTTTTAGTTAAACGCGCCTTTCTTCCCGCCCACATAACCATAAAGTTGCAAGTTTTAATTTGATTTAAATCATTTTAACGTCATATATTTAATAAAAATGCACTAAATGTGCTTAATTGCTCTATTTTTAGCAAATTTTCATTATAAAGCTGATTTGGATACCTGAAAAATTAGTTAAAGTCCAATATTCTTGTAAAGCCCCAATAAGCCCAAAACTCTTTCCCCAACTCCAGGGAATCCAGCCCAAGTATTTCGAACTCATTGACAATGTCTACACATGCCCCTGTTATTGGAAGCTCAATATTAGGAGATTCCAAAGTCATCTCTTGGTAGCCTTTTTTATAATTTAATCTTGTAGCTTGTACTTTGCCATGCATTTAATACTTTGCCATCGATTAAAGTCAAATGTGCTTCATATTTCACTATTATTAGTAAAACCATCAAACAATTTTTTCAATGGAACAATGATCCATTTAATTGTTTTCAATTAAAAAGGCTAACGAATTTTTAGGACTTCTTGTTTTAATCTCTTTCGGCTTAAATTTGTTCGTCATACCAGCTATATTTTCTCTATTTAATGCTTTTTGCAGCAGAGGAGAAGAATCAAATGTTTTCAATTTTTGTTTTATCCTAAAAACGCGGGAAAATGTTCACAACTTGCAGCTAGTGAGTCATTGAAAGTAAACATTAAAAGGTAAAAGTGTCTTAATGGAAAATAAGGGCCAAGGTATGTAAATTTATAATTTCTAAACGTTTTTCTTTTTTTATCTATGTTTGTGTTGTTTTGTTCAATGTGTTGCAAATGTGTTGTTCTAGGATATTTTAACAAAACACGTGTTCTGTAAAGGTTTTCTTTTAAGTGTCTCCAAGTGCCTTGAAGGTAAAAATGTAATGTTGTTACCAAATGTCTATAAATTCATTTTTAGTAATGGCTTTTGTCCGTTTTTGCCCCTTTTCGAAAAAACAATACATGTTGCAGGTGTTTATGTGTTTTCTCATGCAGCGCTCCTCGAAGTTTGGGAGGAGAGCAATCGTAAAGACGACGCAGAGGTTTTTTCATAAAACGAATACCAGAAAGCGACAGAATTGACTTTGAGAATTGAGAATTTCATTAACTATATTAAAAGAAACTTACCGAAATGCAATCGTATGTTAGAGCGTTTGAAATCAGTTCACTCAAAATGGTTTGGTTATAAAATTATAAAAGTTATACGCATTGACAAGCAACCTGTTATTTCAAAAACTGGGAGAAAAAAGACAAATTATGAAGATGCAGGACCTCGCCTTAAAGGAAAATTAGCATCGGAGCTGGCCCCAGAAGAAGCTCATTCAACAACTTTCCTTTACACGCAGCCTCCGTTTCAGCAAAAAGTCTAAGAAACTAGAAGTAGCCTTTTTATTAAAGAAAGCCAAAAGCAGTGAAGATATACAAGTCTTAAAAAAAAAAAACATTTATGAATGAGCCGATTCCATTAAGTCCTGATAGTGCACTGGCAGTCTTTATTGAAAATGGGTTTACAAAGCAGCAATATTTTAATATAAGAGCACTAAAAAAGCAACAAGGACGTGATATTTTCCCTTCATACCATCAAATCGCCGAATCCAAATTGAAATGCAGACCACCGGGTATTAAAATCTGTGAAACGAAAGCAGAAGTCTCATTGCAAAATTTGCTGGATCATACAGCTCACCGCATACTTGCAATGCAAGAGGAAGTTTTGGATATTTGGCCAGATGCAACAGAATGCACCTTAATTGTGAGCTATGGGTTCGATGGGTCTACTGGGCACAGCACGTATAAGCAACGATTAGTTATACCTTTAAAGCTTATAGATCAGCGTCATCGAGTTATTTGGATGAATAGGACTCCACAGTCCGTGAGATTTTGTCGACCTTTGAAAATTGAGTTCGTGAAGGAAAGTACTGAACTGATGTTAAAAGAGAAAAAAAATCTGGACGCGGAAATAAAAAACCTAAACGTATTATCTTATAAGCGAGAAGCGAGAAACAAATTGTATAAGAGCGATCGAAAGTCTCATGCCAGAAAACGCAGCCGATTAGCAAATATTGAAGACGTCTTTCATCGATCACTGGACTCTTCCGACCCATTTCTTTCTACAATTTCTTTAAAAGAAAGGGAGAAAAAAATCCAAAAAAGATCCCTCCCGACTTTACTATTTGTTAAACTTTGTCCTCATAAAAAATGAAATTTCTCATAAAAATGGAAAATTACACTTAAAAAAAAGGCTTGCGCCGAGAAGCCAGAGATTAAGCTTCAGGAAATCTACAATTTGTTTATAATATTCATAATAATAAAATTTTGAGTTCAAATAATTTAAAAAATACATATGATTAATTTTGTTGTCAGTTGTATGGGGGCGGGGGGAAGGCGTGGTCAAGTTAACACCCAATTTTTTTCAAAATTCTATTTTATCCTCCCAGATATTTGTGAAATTTTCAGAATCTTAGGTTCATTTTTAGAGTTCATGCCAAAAATGTGGTCTTTTGGACCATAGTGCAATGCAGAAGTTGCATGCAACATCAGTGGCATGAAATCTTCAGTTTTATCGACCAGATCAGAAGCCGATTTTCGCTTTATCTTTGGTTCTGCCTCAGTGTATGTCAAGTGTCAAGTGCCGACTATGTTTGTGTTTTTATAGGTAGAGAATTCAGATTTCGTAATAATGCTATTTTTGGCAAAATAATGCGACCTATAGCTGCCATATAACTGAACGATTGGAAATAACCCAAATTTCGTGTTTTTCAAGATAGAGAGCTGGAACTTAGTACAGATTATATTTTTGGTTAATCAGTTAATCCTACCTACCAAATTTCATAACGATCAGCCGACTATACCATAAACATAACATAACATAAAGATCGAAAATGGTATTAGAAGAAATTCCAACTTTTGTATTTTTGATGATAGAAGTTTGGGACTTTGTTTTAGATTTTTTTATTTAATTTAATTGGTTTTATTATGATATTCTCATAAGGATCGGCCAACTATATGTATATCCAATGTTTCTGATACATATGCGGTTTTAACTGCAAGGGTATATCAACTTCGACTCTGTCCGAATTTAGCTGTCCTTTCTTGTTTAATTATTTAATTATTACAGACAATTTAAATAAGATTTCTAGAAGAAATCTTCTTTCTAAAGAAAACTAGACTTTTACGTCGTTTCAATAAATTAGGCAATAGTAATAAGGAATAGTAATAAATAATAGTAATAAGTATTAATAGAAGAAAGCAATAGTAATAAAATATAGTATATATAATGTATATTCACGAAAAACGAACCCAATTATACAAGTCATTATACGGAGAACTTACCAATAAGAATATACCCCAATTCGTGTTGCTAATCAAATTTTTTCTGACCTTTGACATTTTAATGGATGTGCCCCCATAGTCCCAATTCAGTAAACGGCACTCGCATGTAGACTGATCTTCTTATCAGAAACCAAGCTCAAGCTCAAGCTCAAGGCGAAGCTGAACCTCGAGGATGATTTAAAAAGCCGGTGCCATGAGTCTCGGAGCATCAGTGTAAATTCTTCAAGTGACTCTTCCACAAAAAAATAAGAAAATGTTCCTACCAGTGATCCTCATCGCTGCTACTTTTTTCATTTCTGCCTCCCTCGGATCGGAAGAAGTAATACCCGTGTAGTGTTTTTATTTCAAAAATTAATTTAATATCCAATTCCACAGTCTTGTTATCTTACGGAGGAGCAGGAGGACGAATGTGCCTCGGTTTGTTATCCAATCGTTAAGCCATTGCTACGCTACTTCGAGAAGTGCCAGGGATGGGAAGCCCAGATATCGCAGAGTCAAAAAGATTTCTCGAACTTAGAGAAAAGACATTGGGAAGTGCAAAGGAACAACGACAAACTAATTGCTCAAATAGACAAGAAAAATACCGAAATTGAGCTTTTAAAAAATCAAATTAATGACCAAAAAAAAACAAGTGAACTGGAAATATTGATAAATCAACTTCGCGAAGAAATTGAAAGAATTCGCAGAATAGAAAAGAGTGGAGAAGTACCACAAGCTAATCAAAATAAAACACACACTGAAGAAAGGACGAAGGAAAATAAAAATTCGAATAATGAAACAGACAAAGTGGAGGTTAAAACTGGAGAAGTGTCAGCTAATCAACAGGATAATAGTCGCAATCAAACAAAGTCGGAAACACAAACCAAAGGTGAGCTGAGACAACCGTGTAATTTTCAAACTAAAACATTGAATTCCTCAGCTCTTCCGGACAGTTGTTCCCAAAACCAAAAGGAAGAATGGGTCGTCCAGGAAATCCAAATACCCGGATCAGATCCGTTGAAAGTGGCTTGTCTCTCACATTCGAAGGTTGGGTCTGGTTGGATGTTGGTATATGGTATAAATGATAACACAACTATGTTGAATCGCACGTATGAGGAATATGCAACTGGATTCGGAGATCGAACGGATTACCGCAACAATTTTTTCATAGGACTCGAAAACTTGCACCTCCTGACGAATAAAGAGCCTTATGAGATGTATTTAATCGATCACTATTATAAATGTGACAACTTTGTTATTGGTAATAGAACCGAAGGATATCTGGTGAAACATGTTGGCGAATGCAGTGGAATTTCTTTTATGAGTCTTCATCAGGGCACCACATTTTCGACTTTTGATCGAGATGAGGATGGACATCCTGATCGCAATTTGGCAAAGGAATTTGGCTATGGCTGGTGGTTTAATTATAAGTAAGTTTTATAATTTTGTTTTTTTTTTTCATCTCTAAAATAGCTTTCTAAAATAACTGATAATAATAATTTTATTTTTAAATCTTTTTTCATTTGATAGATTGGTGCCAATTACCTATGGGTATGTTTATTCACTTATGATGATTCGAAAAAAAACTAAAGAAAACAAACAGCGTTTCCAAATGGCATTTGGATAATAAAATATTGTCAAAAAATAGACCGAATGTTAAGATTAAATCTGTAATTTCAATATTTTATACATTGATAATAATAAACACTTAAATATATTGGTTTTTTATACCCTTGCAGAGGGTATTATAATTTTGGTCAAAAGTGTGCAACGCAGTGAAGGAGACATCTCCCACCCTATCTCTCCTGAGTTGATATGAGCATGTCCGTCTGTCCGTCTGTCCGTCTGTCTGTCCGTCTGTCTGTTTCTACGCGAACTAGTCTCTCAGTTTTAAAGCTATCGTCTTGAAACTTTGCACACACCCTTCTTTCCTTTGCACGCAGTATATAAGTCGGAACGGCCCGGATCGGCCGACTATATCTTATAGCTGCCATATAACTGATTGATCGGAAATGGTATAACTTTGGAGTTTTTAGAGTTAGAGAGTTCAAATTTGACATGAAAGCTATCTTTGGCAAAACATTACGACATGCCAAATTTCATAAGGATCGGCCGACTATATCCTATAGCTGCCATATAACTGAACGATCGGAAATGACCCAACTTTCGTGTTTTTGAAGATAGAAAGCTGGAATTTAATACAGATTCTATTTTTGGTCAGTTGACCCAACCTACCAAATTTCATTAGGATCGGCCGACTATATCCCATAGCTGCCATATAACTGAACGATCGGAAATGGTATTTGGTAGAAATATCAGCTTTCGTATTTTTGAAGATAGAAGTTTGGGACTTTTTTTAGATTTTGTATTGTAATAAATTGGATTATATATTCCTATTCCCATAAGGATCGGCCAACTATATCCGATGTTTGCGATATATATCCGGTTTTAGCTGCAAGGGTATATAAACTTCGGCTCCGCCCGAAGTTAGCTTTCCTTTCTTGTTTTTTCTTAAAATTTTCAAACTTTAAAAAGTTTGCGGCAAAAAACCAAATTTTAAATTTCAGCGATTTTAGGATCTGCCTGAGAAGTGTCCTTTCAAAAATGAACAATTGAGTCTCGTGGAAAGATGCTAAAAAAAAACCAGGACCCAAAAGAAGAATGGAATGCTGACAGGTAGGTGGAGCTGACTATAAATATAGAAATTATGTATAGAAGATTTATAGTTATTTATTTATTTATTTATTTATGGAGATCTACCAAGTAATTTAAAATTAGTAGGTAGAGGTATGGTTGAGCAATAGCAACGGGGGCCTTCAGCTCGGTTTTTATACCCTTGCAGAGGGTATTATAATTTTGTCCAAAAGTGTGCAACGCAGTGAAGGAGACATCTCCGACCCTATAAAGTATATATATTCTTGATCAGGATCACCTCCTGAGTTGATATGAGCATGTCCGTCTGTCCGTCTGCCCGTCTGTCTGTCCGTCTGTCTGTCCGTCTGTCCGTCTGTCTGTCTGTTTCTACGCGAACTAGTCTTTCAGTTTTAAAGCTATCGTCTTGAAACTTTGCACACACCCTTCTTTCACCCTTCTTTCTTTGCACGCAGTATATAAGTCGGAACGGCCCGGATCGGTCGACTATATCCTATAGCTGCCATATAACTGATTGATCGGAAATGGTATAACTTTGGTGTTTTTAGAGTTAGAGAGTTCAAATTTCAGACACAAAAGCTATTTTTGGCAAAATAATACGACGTGCCAAATTTTATAAGGATCGGTCGACTATATCCTATAGCTGCCATATAACTGAACGATCGAAAATGACCCAACTTTCGTGTTTTTGAAGATAGAAAGCTGAAACTTAGTACAGATCCTATTTTTGATCAGTTGATCCAACTTACCAAATTTCATTAGGATCGACCGACTATATCCTATAGCTGCCATATAACTGAACGATCGGAAATGGTTTTTGGTAGAAATACCAACTTTGGTATTGTTAAAGATAGAAGTTTGGGACTTGTTTTAAATTTTGTATTATAATAAATTGGGTTATATAATCATATTCTCATAAGGATCGGCCAACTATATCCGATGTTTGCGATATATATCCGGTTTTAACTGCAAGGGTATATCAACTTCGGCTCCGCCCGAAGTTAGCTTTCCTTTCTTGTTTACAATAATTACATGAGTGTTATTTTATATGTACATTTTGGCTAAATTAAAATTATCCTAAATAAGGTAATATAAGTTTGTATTCTTTAGAAATAGTATTAGTTTTAAAATGTTTGGTAATGTGGGGTGTGAGATGGATTCTAGTGGATTGGTGTTTTTAAATATCAGTTGCCTTTGATAGTTTAGTGACCTGCAGTTAGTCAGTAAGTGAATAATTGATAAGGCATCGTTGGTATCATTGCAGAACGGACAGGTCCTGGTTACATTTGGGTCCATATAGTGTGTATGTGTAATTTTTGTGTGACCAAGCCTGATCCTTGTTATTATTATCTGGTCTCTACGTGAGATCGATGAGTGAATGTTTTTGGTAATTTGGTGGCAGTTGAGTTGTGGATTATTAATTGCTTGGTACCAGCGTGAAGTTTTGTATATGTTTGATTGCATTTTCAAGACATATGTATTTTTAATATATCTAAATATGTCCTGCGTGTTTAAGTTTTCCATGGTTGTGAGTGGTTGTCTTGTAGCGTTTTTTGCTAGGGCATCTGCAAGTTCGTTTCCAGGTATTCCTACGTGACCGGGGATCCAAAGCAGTTTAAATTTATTATTGTTATTTTGTAGAAGATTACGCGCCTTTGAGATATAGTGTTCGCTGTTGTTAGTGTTTTTAATTGCGTCGATGGCAGAGAGCGAGTCTGAGCATATGCAAAATTTGCCTCTTTTAGTTTTATGTAATTGCAGTGCTTCTACTATTGCCAGTAGCTCTGCGGAAAACACTGAAGAGTAGTGTGGTAGGTGGTAAACTTTGATGCATTCAGTTTCGTTTGTGATTGCCATGGTAGTGATGCCGTTTGCTTGAGATCCGTCGGTGTAAATGTATGTGTATTTGTTTTCGTCTTTTGATTTAATTTCTGTAAACTTTAATCTGAAAATTTCAGGAGGGTTACTTTTTTTGTCGAATTTATTCAGCGATGTGTTTATTTTTAGAGGGCTTGTGTTCCAAGGCGGTGTGGTTTGTGTAGGTGATGTTAATTGATTAAATGGCAGTTGGTGGACTTGTGAGTATTCTATAGTACGATCTATTGTTGATTTGTATTGTGGACGTTTAGGCGGGCGATATGCTTTTAAAATTTTTAATATTGGGGAGGCTTTGGCGTTAACTAGGGACTTAATGATTTTTGTCGTAAGGAACTGTCGTCTGTCTTCTAAGGCGTCTGCATTTGCTTCGAATAGTATGTTATTTGTGGGGGTGGTTCTGAAGGCTCCGAGGGCAGTTCTAAAGGCTGTGTTAATTGTTGTTTTTACTTTGCGCAGTGTTGTGTATGGGCAGAACCCGTATATTGGAAGGCCGTAGTCTGCTTTTGAGATGATGGTTGCTTTTGTTACATTTAGGAGTGTAGAGGTGTTGCAGTTAAACTTTGCGTTTGAGAGACATTTTATTACGTTAATATACTGTTTGAGGTTGTTGTTTAGTAGTTCTGTGTGAGTATTCCATCTGTATTTGTTATTGAAGTGGAGACCAAGGATTTTTAATGATGTTACTTCTTGCATTTGCGTGTTTCCTGTTGTTATGGTGCAGTTGCAGTTATGTTTTCTGCAAACGTGGAGGTGTTTGCATTTTGTGGTAGATAACATGGCTCCTGAGTATTCTGCCCAGTCTGTAATAGTGGATATTATCGGATTTGGGTTTATATTTAGGTTTTTTTTTTTTTTAGTTTTAGGATGATGTTGAAGTCATCTGCGTATGCGCTTAGGCTGATGTTCGGATGAAGTGTGAGCTTTTCTGTTAGTGAGTTATATGCGATCACAAACAGGACCACGGAGAGTGGGGAGCCTTGAGGAATGCCGTTTTGCATTGGATAAAAGGAGGAGGTTTCAGAGTCAATGCGCACGAGTAGTTTTCTATTTGTCATGTAGTTTCTTACGTAGTTAATAATTTTTGGGCCAGTTTTCCAGATTATAAGTTGGTCAAGTATTGAGTGGATGCCAATTCTATCAAAAGCCTTTGCAAAGTCTAGTGATATAATGGATGCATGGTTTCTTCTTGAGAGAGCTCGGGATAAAAGATGGTCTATGAGTAGTACACTGTCTATAGCCGATTTCCCCTTTCTAAAGCCAGTTTGACTGTTATAGATTAGTTTGTCGTTTATTACAAACCACCACAGCCGTTTTGCTATTATTTTGTCAAGCAGTTTTGGTAGGCATGAGTTAAGTGCGATCGGACGGTACGAGTTAAGCAAGGTTTTGTCTGAATTTGGTTTTAGGATCGGTATTATTAAGCTATTTTTGTATGTTTGTGGGATGTAGTTGTTTAGTATGGCGTTTTGGAGGTTAATAATTCTGTTTTTTGTTGTTTTATCCAGGTTTTTCAGCATTGTGTAGTTGATTCTGTCAAGTCCTGGTGTGTTTCCTTTTAATGTAGTTAATGCTGCTGAGAATTCAATTGCAGTTATGGGTTTTTCTATTTCGGTTGCTCTTTTGCTAGGAATATGTGGAAGATGAATGGTATTTCTAAGTGACGTTTGTTTGTGATTGATAAAGGTGCTTGAAAAATTGTTGTCGGAGGAGGTTTCTGAGAAATTTTGGCAAAAGAGTTGAGCAATTTCAAATTTTTTATTAGTGTTTTGTTTTGTGGATGGGTTGAATATACAGTGTATGTGTTTTTGAGGGTTAATGCCGCAATAGCGACGGATGTTGCTCCAGATCGTTTTGGGTTGGCTGTCGGGTGAGATTTGCGATGTAAATTTGTTAATGTTTGCTTT